ACTTGTTAGTTAAAATGCCTAGTGTGATTCACTTTTTTCAATTCCAATGCACTAGGCATATGATTAGGCATTTTGGCTCAACTCATATTCACTAGCTACATGTAGCTAGCCTTCAACGCTAGGCAAAATGTATTCAATCATTAGGATCATTTCCCTCCATCTTTGTTGTTGACGTGGCATTCTATAAAATTAATAGTATTTTGGATAAATAGGCAAAATAAAGAGCATGGTTGGAGTAAAAACATAAAACAGTTGATAGGCAAAATAAAATATATACTTTATAGTAATATTTAGATAGGTAAAATGCCTACTACCGTTGGAGATGCTCTTAGTGACCAACCATAAAGACTGGAGGCTTCTCCTCTCTCCCCTATACATGTATAAATAACATCTTTACACCACAAATAGAATGGCAAAAAAACCATTGAGAATTGAATGAAAAATTGCCCCCATAAAGTTAGCTTCATGAAAGAGTTAATGGGGTTTGTAACTTCTGCCTTTATTGCAGAGTTTAATAGTGCATTAATGGGGTTTGTAATTTCTGCCTTTATTGCAGAGGTTAACGTTGTATTAGTGACCAACCATAAAGACTGGAGGCTTCTCCTCTCCCCTATACATGTATAAATTGAGACTCTCCTGTCAAGTCTCAAACACAGAAATTGTTTCTTTCATTCTTTAGTCAGTTTGCTAGAAATTTCTTACTGTGAGAGAATCCTGCCATTGTCGGTTTGCCAAAGCTAACAGAAGGTGCTTCTGAGTTAGCCGGTTTAAACCATCTTATCCTGGGAGACAGAAGTCGATGTTCCTCTAGCACCCACGGTGAGGCGGCTAGTCTATTTTAAGGACACTGTAGTATCACACAGAATTTGGTTTGATTTCTTGTTTTCGTATTCAGATTAAATATATTTTTATATTAGTCTTTTTTCATATTTATGCTCTATGATGTAATTTATCAAGTATGGTTTTATTTGATGTTCTTTTAGTTAACTTAATAAAGCATGAATTTATTTATTTTGTTTCAATTACCCAATTTAAACAACAATAGCCATGTGGGCACACACCATGGACTGGAAATCTGTGATGTCCAAAACAAGTTGGGCGGTGCAAACTGGAAGAAGCCACATCAACGATTATAGCGTTTGGTGTTTTCTTCTGCGTTCATTAGTTGTCATTTCTCTCACTCACACATACACATGCAAGAGAGACAGAGAGAATACGTAGTCGATCTAATCTTGAATGGCTCATACTTTCAAGCATTTTTTTTTTAAAACAAAAATATTGTACATAATTTTATTTTTTATAAATAAAAGTACGATTATATGTAGTACTAACAATTTTTATTTGTTTTTAAGTATTTTTCTCTCCCTCACATCACACTAGATTTTCTGTTACTTTTCCATTCATATTTTCTCCCTTGATATATGAAAATTCCTAGCTGCATATGAAATATGAGATTTCAAGGTTAGTCTTTTCGTCATTGGGAGCTTTTAATTACACTCGTTAATATTTATTTACATTTATGTGTACAAACCTTTCTTCATAAAGTATAATATTACAATACATAAAAACGGGTGCAATGAAAAATTTAAGAGATGTAAATAGAAGCTCCCCCAATCAGTGATCCCATTTGTTGCAAAGATGCACATGAAAGAAAACACAAAATAAAGTTTGCCACATTCGAATAAAAATGTGGCTTTGTCAAGCAAAAACTTCGCTAAATTAGGACGAGATTGTGATCAGGACTGCAAAAAAATCAAACTGTTCATAAATAGCTCAAGCTTAGCTCGTTTATTAAATGAACGAGTTTGAACTCGATTTTTAGACTCGTCAATTAATCGAGCCAAACTCAAGTATAAAAAAATAAATTAATATTTACTTTTAGTAATATATATACTTTTTTTTTTTTAGGAGTGTTCAATAATTTATTTTATTTTTATATTTGTGTTTAGTGTTTGTGTAAATTTACATATTTAATGGATGAAATTTATTATTAATATACGTATTCTCATACATTTTGCTTTTTCTATTTTTATCTTAATAAAGTAAATTAATTTAAGATTTTTTTTAAGATCGGACGCGACGTGTGTATGTAATCTAGCGAGTTCGAGTTTATCAAATATTTGATGAGCTGAGCTAGAGCTTAATTATTTAAACTTGACTTGTATTCGGTTCGAGCTTAAACTCGACTAATTCTTGATAAACTCAACTCAAACATTCAAAAACTCAACGCAAACACTCAAAAACCCCACTCGACTCGACTCGTCTTGTAATTGTGATTAAATAAACCAGCGAGTCAAAAACAGGAGTCATGTGAAACATGGTGGTGATGGAGTCATTTAGCCTGCGAGAGTGCTGGGATTTAGTGCCAAAATGTCAAAAAATTACATGGTAAAGGCACATGGGCTTGATGCCATTTGCATGCCCAAGATTTGCTGCTTTTATATATATATATATATATATATTTTTTGTGCACATGGGAAAGGAAGATTTGTTTATGTAAGATTTCAAATCAATCACATTGCGAGTATTCTTCCTCTCCAATTCTAATTTTTGACAGTGTTTGAAATATGACAACGACGGTAGCGAAATTGGACAACGGCAACAGGTACGACGTCAACAACGACGGCAGATATTGATGCAGATTTTACTTGGTTTGATATAGATTTAACTTTTCAAACCACATCTATGAGAGATCAGAAATTTTTCTTGACTCGCAATTGTTTATTTGACAGATTTGTTTTTGTTTATTATTTATAGGTTGTTGTTCAGTTATTTGTTTCACCCTTTACAGTCTTGTTGTTTTTCTTTTTAATCTGTATGTTATTTATTTTATTTTAATATATAATTACTTTTTATTTTCTAAAAAAAAAACAATAACATATACATATATATATATATATATAGTAACTGTGAAACAAATATGACTTCATGTTTTAAAGAATTCATTTTATGTTTGGCATAGAATACTACGAACCCATATTTAACTACCTAATAATCACCTAAAATTATTTTCTTATAATTTAAATTTATTGTACATATAAATTTAACGCTATACAAATTGAATCTTCACCATTTAATCAGGCACTCATAAAAATCTGAGTACATCAGCCTTGGGCAATAAACTTTTTCATGCTTGGCGTCATTTTATTTGGCAGACAGGACGGCTCAAGTGGTGGACACCAAGAACACAAAAACAAAAACAAGAACAAAAAGAAGGAAGAGCTCCTGAAATCAATCTTATTTGAATTTTGGACAAATTATACCAGTTGTTCGTCTAATTTGCTACTTGTATCAATTTAATTTTTGTACTTTGTAATTGTGTCAACACATGTACAAAAACTTATGCCCCAACGCCAGGCCTATTTGGTGCAAATTTTTGTAAGCTAAAAACTAATAATAAGTAGAAATCAAAAATGCCTCTCTGCCTATTTCTCAATAATTAACTTATTTAAATTATTTCTACCTCTTAAGTTATAAGTGAAAATTGCACCAAACATTGACACAGTTCTTCAAAAGTAAATAAGCTATAACTAGCTTTACAAGCTGCACCAAACATGTCCCTATGCTCCACAAGCATCTCTGAAGTCTTTTACCAATGGCTCTCCCTTATAATCTTCAACTTGACAGAACTTTTTACAAAATTTTATGATTCTTTTCTGCAACTTCCATTCATCAACAAAGTGTGTAATCAGACACCGTATAAGTTATAACTTAGGTTTTGCATTGGCATCCATGCGTCCGCAGTAAAATGCCTACAATGTCTCTAGTAATGGCAACACGAGATGGGATTTTCTTAACCTTTGATTGCAAGACATTACAAAATCTGCTAAATCCAACTTCTTCCACAAACCTAAAACGCAATTCGTTTAGGATTAATGCTTGAGGCCTCGGGTTCGATGGATTTTTTTTTTTTTTTTTTTAAGTTATGTTAGTTTGGTTTTTTATTTTTTATACTCTCTCTTTTCTTTTCTTTTTGCAATGGTGGTTATGTATAGGGGTGTGCTAAAAAATTAAACATTCTGCAAATGAGTTTGGTTGGACTGATTGGGTGATAAAATTTACTGATCAATTTTTTTTAATTTTATTTTATTTTATTTGTTAGGCTGTGTTGATTTTTTTTTTTTTTTGGGTGTGTTTGTTTTTTTTTTTTTTTTTTTTTTGAAAGGTGATTATGTGTAAGGGTGTGCCAAAAAATTAGATATCCTACATCAACTCATCGTACAAAATTATATAAAATTAACGAATTTTAACCAACAGTCTAATTGATCAGTCAATTAAGTTAGACTGGTTAAGTGATAAAATTGACTAATCAGTTAAGCTGTTAGTTAAATTTTGTTAATTTCATATAATTTTATATGATGAGTTGGTGCGAAATGTCTAATATTTTATATTAGACATTTAAACTCACCCTCAAAAATAATAATAATAATAAACAAAATAAAATAAACTAACACACACAGCAAAAAAAAAAAAAAAAAAACAGCATTCGAGCCCTCGAATTTCATTTAGTATTATCATCTTGGTAAGAGCTCTTGTACCAGCTTCCACACTATAGCTCTTTGCCACAGGATTTACACCCTCATCTCCATCTTTTTTGGTTAAAATGACAGTTTTCCCTTATTAACCACATCTCTATAATTTTCTTATATGACCTTTGAACCAGCCAAATATTGCTTGACAATATCACAAACAGCCTTAGTTTTCCCCATATTCCGACTTAATTTTATCAAAATGGTGCCATGCCTTGGATGGTTTTCACCCACTACCCTTTAGGCTTAAGTGGTATTGTAGGAGGGCCAATATGTTCATGTGGAAGATCCATTATCTATACCAAAATATTTTGGGCCTTACATAACATTTCAAGTAATTTACCAAAAATTAATAACAGAAGACAACAACAGCATAACAATTGTGACAAAAGATTTACTAGTGCATATATCTGCAAGAGTAATTGTCATAGGACAACTGACTGCATATTTATAAATTCCCTCATAACAAAATTAAGAAAAAATCTCTATCAATAACATTTTCAATGTTCATTTATACGTTGCTGACAAAATTAACAATAACATTTTCAATCTTATGTGATTATTATGCATTTAAGATTATTATACGAAGGCCAGATCAGATTGGGGTCTGTCAGGATAGCTCCATCAGCCTTCAGGCATTTCTGTTACACGGTGCATATTTATCTAATGGTATAATTTCTATTGACCTTCTTACAACTAAAAAAAAATGTTTCCGAGTCCAGTATCAGTAGAAGCTTACTAGACATATGATATCTTCTAGTGTCATTTTTGTTCCAACAGTTTCTGTCTTCTTCTTTCATGAGACTTGGGGTATACAGTGCCAATCATTTGTGTTAATAAAACCTCTACAAACAAAAATGAAAGTTAGAATCAACCACACATTCCTTATTATAATCAAAACAACTTCCTGTCCCTCAAAGCATTTAAGGCAAAACCAATTTTAGATATTTGTTCCAAGTTGTTGGTTTCAGCAACAGGCAAAATAATGCATTATTACTCACTGTCCTGAATTTCCAAAAGCAAACAAATAAGCAGGGGAGAGGATACAAATATCAAACAACATTATCTTGTCCTCAATTGCATCCAAATACCTATGGTTCTCCACCAAGCTCAACTCGTAGGTTGTCGTAAGGATAGACCTTTGGGGCCTGGACAGATAAAAGAGGAATATTATCAATCAGAAGCAAAATTTTGGATACAAATCAATGGAAAAACAACTCCCAGGTAGAATAATAGGATAAGTATTTTTTTTTTTTCTTTGATCAATAATAGGATAAGTATGATGACATGTCTTCTGAATTTAGTAGCTTCTTATGGGAGATCCAGGAGAAGGTGTAAATTACAATAACTACAACAAAAAAAATATAAAAAAAAATACTTAGTGCATTTAAGATGAAAGAACCTATTTGATTTCTTTTTCTGATAATAATGGTACCATGAGAAAATTCAATTACTGTGATCTGGAATACAAAAAAACACGCATTCAAAGCATGCTACGGGGGTAGAAATGCCAGGTTATAGAATATTCCGACAAATGCAAACACTATAGTATGAGGAACAACAATTTGAATGTAAATAATTTAGTGTCAAAAACCAAAATATTGCTTTAAGTGGTTGGATGGAAAAGCTCTGTACAGACACCTAATCTACTAATGATAAACAGACATGATAAAAAAGGAAGTCCATTTCCAAGGCTAGAGAATAAGTGAAGTATTTAGCATTAGGCTACAGTCGCACCATTAGTTTGGTCATATGCCTTACCAGAAGCTGAGGAAAGGCACTTCTAAGTACAGTAAAAAACGCATGCTACAATGAGCGAAAGAAGATATGTGATGGTCATCATGCCATTAATAATAGTTTCCAATAATAAAGGGAAATGAAACTTGAAACTGATGCCAAAAAAAAAAAAACAGCCACTAATACATGCTTTTACAACTTGAAGTTCACAAAAGAAGCTACATCACCTAACTGATAAACATATATCTCAGTTCATGTTTCATGATTTTTTGCAATGTGAGATGGATATTGAGTAAAATTTTAATCCTGTCAAACAAGTGGCCAGAATAGAAACCACAATCTGTTTGACTGCTAGAAAATACTGAAACTCAAGGTAATTCATTCCAAGTACTTGGTAGCAACCTATACAGCATAGATACTTCTAAAAGGGAGTTGTATCCGTACTATACCCGTATTGGATTCCGATACTCCTCGGATACATATCCGATACTTAAGTGTGAAAGGGAAACAATGCAATATAAGTTTTGTCATATTGCCATATACATGTATCCCGCATCCATATGTCTGCTTCATAGGTGGCAACAATGAGAGGATCTTATTACATAATCTCTATCTAATATGTGAACTTTATTTTAGGAAACTTATTGTATTCCTTTTTGGCATTAGATGTGAGTACATAACAACTACATGGTTACAGAATTAGATTTTTACTAATAAAAAAAAGGTTACAGTACCAGGTTGACGACAGTGATTAGTGTCATCCACACCAAGTATAAACATACTCTACGTAGTTTACTACCTAAGGTAACAATAGAAATGCCTTCTAACTAAACATGAAATGTGATAACCCATGCTAGCACCAAAGATTTTCAAATACAACTAAACCTTTTAGGCTATTAGTTCACTGGAATGAAGGTAGAATGGAATGGAATTGTCATTTCCTTAACCTCTCTATAGAATGACCATTCCCATACAATGGTGAATGATGATTCCATTAGTAATTCATTTTTAATCATTTTTTAGTGAACCAAACGCGAGAATAGAAATTCTAATGAAATGATCATTTCATTCCACTTCATTCCAAGTGACCAAGCACTATGTAATTGAAGATTAGACCCTCCAACGCCGAAGTTGTGCACTCTTCAATGTTTCCCAGACCAAAGTTCAGATTTTCAAAGAAGCATAAGATTTGATCCATAGCAACCGTGCACCAATCACAGATGGCAATAAAGTGCAGTTATTACACTCAGATTTTATTATGATATAATGATATAAGCAGAACATATAGCAAACAAAACTAATGTCATCCATAAGATACAAAATGTAAATTAGGCGTGAATGAAAACTCACAAATGGATTCTTGGAGGCCTTGTCATTCCAAACAGCCAGTAGTCCAAGACCAGCGAAAAAACTCAAACCACCACACAACCAAGCCAAAGCTTCATACTGAAAGATAGATACATAAATTTTGATATATTTCTCTAACAAGCACAAAAACCACAACCCAATTCTCATGAAACTATTCAGATTCCAAATTACAATCTATTAAACACACACACAAACACACACACACACACACACACACACACACACAACAACAACAACAACAACAACAACAACAACAACAACAACAAAAATTCACCTTTCCAACCGTATCGGCGATACGATCTATACAAGGTTCTGGAAATGCAGTCCCGTTGTCCCAAACCAGCTCGTCATTTACAGGAAGCTGAATCAGACAACAAAAACCAGTAAAATGAATCTAGGGTTTCGCAATTGAGTTGAAAATTGCAAAATTAAAAATAGAGGTGAAGGAATTATGAACTTGATATGTATGCATTTACAGTGAATGTATAGAATCATGGAAATTCTAGGGTTTTGGGGGGGAGAGAAGAGAGGCTTACGGGTTTGTCTGGGACGATGTGTTTGCCGACGGGGAGGCCCATGCCGGAGCGGAGGCGAAGAGAGGAAGCGACGGATCGGGAAGCGACACCGTTTCCGCCCATAATCCGAGACGCGACGAGGCTCAATCTACCAGCCATTTTTTTTTTTTTTCCCTTGAAATTTTCCCCACTGAAATTTTCCCGAGAAAATCACAGGGATGATGCTTTGGTTGTTTGTAGTTCGTGAGGAAGCTATCGGCCGAGCTTGGTTGGGCTGGGCTGGGCTGAAGCTAGTTTTCATGAAATACACTGGATTAGGCCCGACTTTAGAACTCAACTAAGAGGTATTCATGGCCCCAGCCTGGACCAGCCAGCCCATTAACATAGCTTCACCAAACTCCATAAAGGCATCTCTAACGGTTCAGTAGAAATTTTATCAAATCTGAGTAAAAAAAAAAAAAATTCTCAATTTGATACAAATCACTCCAACGGTGAACACGGTAACTTTCATCAAAATGCACTGAACGTCCGGAGAGACGACCGACTAGTCGACCAGAAAGAGGATTCGGTTGGTTTTGTATTTCATTTGGTTGTTGGTTTAATGAATTTGAATTTGGGGCACTCGTATCTCTGTCTTTTGTACTTCTTGTTGTAGAATTTAATAATTATAGATGTATTAATTCACGGGCTTAATGGATTCAAGATCTGATCTGTTTCCTTTGGATTTATTGGGTTAACGTAGGAAGAATTGTATATTTTAACTAGATTTGTAGTTTATTGTTATACCCACCCACCCACTCACTCACTCCTGGTCAAAAAATGTTATTTCTGTCCTGTAGCCAATGAGCTCAGCCAAGATGGTTGTTTTTTGGTGCAGTGACTTCATTGAGCAAAACCCTTTATCAAATCCTCCTTTAACTTCCTCTGCCAATTGAAGCTGCTGCCACCACCACCATAAGTGTTCTGGGCCTTCTGGTGAAGCATAGGTTTAGCAGCTTCGAGGTATTGCTTGATTTAGAATTATCACCATGAATGATCTGATAATTCTGAAAAAAGTCTCTTTTGTATCGGTTGAATTCATTGAAGTTGACGAATAGGCGAGATTCTGAAAAGGGGTTGCAATCACCGTAATAGTAGCGGTGGCGCAGTTGTGGTTGTAGGGTGCAAAAGCCATAGCGTAATGATTACGGTAATCGAAAATGTAATTTTTTTATTTTTCGCACAATTTAAAAAAAAAAAACTTACCGATTTTTTTTTTCCATAATCATATTTATTGGTTTTAAAATAAATATTGATCAATTTTTATAAATTTCTAAATATGATCCAATATATTTCATATTTTTAAATCGCTATAAACTGAGTTTTTTATATTTTATTTTAATAATTAATAACTTTATATGTCATTAATCCATATTACGTTTGTAGCAAAAATATAAATATTATTAGACTTAGACGTATAAAATTATTTTTTTAATCATTATATTTGTGGAAGTATATGTAAATTTTAACTTGAATAGTTTTAAAAAATAAATTATACATGCTAATGTAATCATATAAAACTTAAAAAATAAATTATAAGAATTTTTTTTTTTTTTTTTTTTTGGTTTGGATCACTTGAACATTCATTCTCTTTTTGGATAACCTATAAATAAAAATAAAATAAACTAATCAAAAAAAAAATGACATGTATAAAATAAGTATTAGTATATAATTATAGGTGTTATGTTTTCTAGATATTTTACCAAAAAAATGAATCACTAACTATTACATATAGATAAACAATGACAAAGATAAGACAATAAATAAGAGCCTAAATATATATATTTAATCAAACCAAATATATAATGACCATACTTCTTCTTCTTCTTCTTCTTCTTCTTCTTCTTCTTCTTCTTCTTATTATTATTATTATTATTATTATTATTATTATCAAACAATATATAGATAAGACACACACAAATAAAATGATTGAGTGATAGCAGCCGAATAGAATAGCATAGGTCATACAGTTTCAACAAATCAATAACATGTTCTTCATCTTCCCTCTTCTCTCTCTATACACTTCCCCTATTTTTAGCTTCTCTTCTTTCTTTTTTTTTTCGAAAGACGCAATTCAAAACTTTTACGTAACGGTGCGTAACAGACCGTTACAAGTACTACAGCCGGCATACTTGTGAATCTCAATCACACCGCAAAAGCGGGGGTAACGTGTAGTGCCTACCAACCGTTACGTAACGCCACATTTTGAAACCTTAGGTGTAATGTTGTCCAATGGAATGTTACGGCCATTACAGTACCACTACGGCCATTATGCACCGATACAACTATTATGTAACACCGAAACGACCGTTACACATGTGAATTTTCGTTACACCACTATGGCGGCCATAACGGATGGTGATAACCACCACAACCATTACGTAACGGTGTTACGTAACAGTTGCGGCTACTTTTTAAAACCTTTCGAATAGGTGTTGGTGAATATTCTGGTGATTTTGAAGGAGCCAAGTGATATTCCAGTTTGATGACATTGACCTATTTTCAAAATGGATTGATAATAAAAATATGAAACTGCACTTCTTTACAAGGAAAATACCATATTTTGTTTGTTTTTACTATTGGACATGTTTTTTGCCGAAATACTATGGTTGTTGAAAAAGATGAAGATGAAAATTAGTGCCACAAGAGACCATTATGTTATGTTCTTTGTTAGTCGGACGATCGGGGACAATTAGTCGGAGGTCCAGTCGGTCATCCGATGGGTCTCACCCCCAACGTCCACGTATAATAAACTGCTGGAACGTAACTCAGGTCCTCAATTTGGTGAAAATTTTAAGACGTTCTCAATTTGATATCATTTTAATAAAATCGTTGAAGACAAAAAAAAAAAAAAAAAAGTGTATTTTCACTAAATTTAAATTTGATGATGAATTTGATTAAACGTCGGAGATGGCCTAACTAGTCACGAAGATGTTATTTGGTAGTCTAGAAATAATGGTTGACCCCTATTAAATTATCTCCGACAACTCTAACAAAAAGTAATCACTTTTTTTTGTTCTAATATTAAAAATTAAAGTTTTTATTTTTTGTTTTTTTTGTTTTTTTTGTTTTAATTTTTTAGATGCACCTAATTTACATGTACCTAAAAAGTAAAATATTTATAAAAAAAAATTTAAAATATCATACAAGAATACGAAAATATATTAAAGTTTTATTCTTTTTTTTTTGTATTTTAGGTATTTAGTGAATCTTTTAAGCATTTTTTTATAAATATTATATTTTTTAATTATATTCATATTGAATGTATTTAAAAATAAAAAATTTATTTAAAATTTAAAAAAAATTACTAAGAATAAAAAAACATGTATAATAAAAAATTAATTGTATAAAAAATGATAGTTCAATAAAAGGACCGTCACATGTCTAAGTGGTGACTTAAAGGCCCTATTTGGTAGAGTTGTGGGAAAGTACTTATACCTTATGCCTTAACAGTTTATAACTTATAACTATGAACATAAGCTGATTTCGGACTTATAAATCAAGCTTCTCCTGCCCCACTCAAAGAATAAGCTGATTTCTGACTTACAAAAAGCTATAAACTGCATTGTTAAGCTAAACCAAGCACATCAAAATAACTTAAATTAAGCTGAAAGCTGAAATAAGCTGAAAAAAAACTGTACCAAACAGGGCCAAAGTTGGTGGCTTTTGCAAAATCAAAATTGGCAGTTGAGGACTCCTGGATTTGTGTAATCAAGTCAATTCTGGTAGTCCGTGAATATTTCAAATCTCTTAAGGATGTGTTTGATTGGACAGACTAGATAAAGGGAGATTAGAATCCGTTGGACTTGAGTCCTAGAACTGTAAATCCCCTGGACTATTTGGTTGGATTGGATATGTATCCTGTATTTGTTTTTTGATGGGATTAGATGTCTGGAAAAGACTATTTTTAGTTAATCTAACCTTTGGTTAGACGGACTAGATAGGATAAATGAACAAAATACTATTTTACCCTTTTTCAATTGTTTACTAAGTAATAGCAATATTAAACATATCTTTAATATTTTAATTATTTTTAGCTAGATTAAATAAAAATTCATTTTATTTTATTTTTTACACAATTAAATAAATTTATTTTTTTTAATTAAATAAATAAATAAATAAAATATCAATAAAAATTTATATTATTTTTTAATTAAAATTTGAAATAAATTTGCTTTTAAAAATAATAATAATTAAACAATGAAATTAAATAAAACATCTATTAACATTTAAATAATGAAATTAAATAAAATATAAACAAAATTTTTAAATAAAACATCAATAAAATATCTATAAAAAATTATTTAAAAATAAGTAAATAAAACATCAATAAAAAGTTAAATAAAATTATTTTATTTTTAAATTGAGACATTTAAATTTTATTAAATTTTACTAAATATAATACATAATTAAATAGTAAATGGTCAAAATGATCATTTCACCACCTAATCCCAATAGTAAATAATCCCTCCAAAATTGTCCCACACCCCTCCTAAGACAGTATAATCCCTCATATGAGAGATAAGGAGTCCGGCCAGACTCTATATCTGACAGACTAAAAAATAAATAAATATCGAATTAAATTTACTATACGGATTATAATCCGCAAAATAAATAACCCATCATTTTATCCCCTAATCAAACACATCCAAGAGTTAGGGATTGCCAATTGTATATATCCATTTATATATAAATGTATTTGTTTAATGGATAGAGTTAGTAGGACACGTGGCAAGTATCAGCAGGCAAAAGAAGTTCCACTACTTAAGGCATCCAACGGCTACAATTTGAATTCCTAACATCAGCTATACTAATGTAACCACTTTGATCAATGGTGTACCCTTGTCATTCATCCAAGGCTCAACCCTTTCACCAAACGGCTCATATTTTATAGTCAAACCCACGTCTTGAAGCACACAACTAACACCCCAAAAAGCAAGAAAGTCCAGAAATTTTTAGGTGGAGATAAGGTAGGTGTTATATGATATCATTCTCTTTTCTCATTAGTTACGAGAGAGTGAGAGTTATATTTATGTGTTGGGTGATTAAAAGACAACATGAGATTGGTTGAAGGCACCATGTAACATACCACATGATACCCTATCTACATCCTAGAGTTTTTTAACAAAGTGGGACAGATGTTACTTCATGA